TCCCCTTGTGTTGCCTTGGTCAGTTCTACAGTTTAATATTTACAAATATATCCATCTTCCATGTATCTATGAAATATTCTATTTAGAAAATAGATATCAAAATATGGATGCTATGTGATTTATTACAAAAAAGTAACTCGCTGCAGAAATGCTCGTATGAATATCTGGCACAGATTTTCTGGTAAAGGATATTAATCACTGTGGTTCAAGAATGAACTGAACCTTCCAGAAAATGTAAACATAATCATTATTATTCAAGAATGAATTCAACCTTTCTGAAAGTGCAGATGATATATAATCATTGTTATTCAATTTGTCTCAAAAATTATTTTTTGTGGGAAATGATGCAGTTTGGTTGTACAGTTTGAAATGTCATGGATTAATTAATGATCAAGAATTTTTTTAAAGACAAGATACTAAAAACATTTAAATATTGGTGTATATTGTATAAATTTACATTATTTGCATCAGGAATATCAAACCTGTGATTAGGAACATAAGTACTGATCCTTCCTGTGACGTCCATCTAATGGTGCTCGGTATCAGGGATGAAAAAGAGGGATGGTTTCACCTATATTGTCCAGGTGGAATAGCCTGTGATGATGATGGAGATTTATGGAGCCTTATTGTAAGTGTTTTTAGTTACAAGAAGACTGCATGCCCATACTCAACACCAACAGTTTTTAGTTAGCTATTCCTGTCTCTTAACTTGTTTCTACAGCCTTCAACTGTTCATAATTTTTTATAAAAATTTTAATCTTGTAATGAAAATAACAATTGGATCAGATATATTCCTGGAAATTAAAGAACAAACCTGTGATATATTTAATGATTACAATGAGAATATAACAAAATCAAAGTTTGGGAAAACAAGTTTCTCAACCTAAACTAATAAAATTGAAAAACATTCACTTAAAAACAGTAATTATCACTGAACAGTGAATATCATGCTGAATAATTACAAAAATTCTAAATGATTTTACATACTGAAACAGATTATGATATAACTTCATGCAAGAACAAGTAAATCAAACATGATAATGTTACATTAATTTTATGGATAAATAAATCTGTGACTAGTTTAGACACATTGAACATCTATATAAGTTGGAATAATAAACAATCATTAATCATATCAGCAAAATATATAACTACCAAGTCTGGTGATAACAAATGTGGAAGGAAAACTATATGTTATTAATGGTTTAAGAGTATATTTATTGTTTATTTGTTTAGTACAAAGCTACACAGTGGATTATCCGCTCACTATCCACAAGGGGCAGTATTTCATCTCTTAAATTTGCCCCCCCCCCCCAGAGAATCAGTAGTAAGTTCATGGACTTATAATGCTAAAATCTGGGGCTCGATTTTGTTAATAAATTATTATTAAGCCAACAGGTGGACACTAAAATCAGTAAGGTGTTGTCATGGAGAACACATTTAAAAAGAAACATTCTGTAAAGTGTTTTACTATTATACTAGTTTTGAATTCGGAATTTAAAATAAATTTAAAAGTAAGAAATGCAACAGTTCATATATATATACACATATATGTATAGATACATATATACACTTCATATAAAGTACATGTTTTTAGAGAATATTCAACATCACACATATAGAACTTCAAAAAGGCTTTCTATGTTTTTATTTTTTGTTTTGTCATCTAGATGTGTATGCTTTCCTATTTAATATTATACATCCTACTTTTAAATTTAATATGTGATGTCTTGTAAATTTAGTTGTGTTGATATTATTGTTTATGTGAACATGTTGTTTCACCAATATGCCAGTTCTCCGTAGGTCTAGCACATGTTAATTAGACGTTCTTTGTTCAAAAATCTTGAATTCTTTTGTCCAGAAAGAGGATAAATCAAACATTATTTAGTAAAATAAAAATTATTCATCAAGTTTTAGAACACATTGCTTAAAAAACTGTTACAAGTAAAATGAGCATTTCTTAAAAATGGAACTTAACATATCTAAATTTTAACAGTTAAAAAACTTACTTGGATGCTGTTGTCGGAGAAAAAGGTTTCTTCAGGGTTTGAATAAGTGCCTGGGACCATGCATGCTGCGAGCTCTGCGAGATGATGAAACTTGTCAACAAGCTCTCTGTGCCATGTTAGAACTAGAAGTTGTAGAAAATAAAGACATGCAGCTTCAAATTATCACCACTTTACAGACGACTTCAACAGGCAAACAACAGTATGCTGCCCTCTGTCAACGACAGATGCACCTGAAAGAATTGGTAAGCAAAATTGTTTTACAGTACGAAAAGAGGTAAGTAAGTTCATAAACAGCTGTGGAGTAAAACATATATGTATATTTTAGACTCTAGGTGTTAGTTGTTTTCATATTTCTATTATGAGGATTTCCTTCAACACATCCAACATAAAAAATTAAGAACTTTACCAGCTTTTTTTGAAAGTTTAAGTCATGTTAATATGGTAACTGTACTGTTTTTATTGTAACTTCTCTTTGATGATTTTTGAGCAAGATCTTTCATCTAGTGGTGTGATCAAAGGATCTTTCTTATAAAAATAAAATTCAAAATATGTTAATAAGAAAACTGTGTTTAAGATTAATCAAAATGCTTAAGATTCCTGTTGAATAGTAACACTGCCTTGCATTATATACATGTTTTAACTACATAAAATCAATAGGCAAATATAAGAATTATGGTAAGAATTCTGATTTGCTTAGAAGGTTAGCCAATATTGTAAGTTTATTAAAGCTATTTTATTCAAGTTGTTTTTTCATAGGAACAGCACATTAAGTGTTAAATCTAAAATCTTTATTTCAATGACATTGAATTAAATATAATTATATATATAAAAATAGATGAAGATTTCAAAGTTCTATTAATTACAGTTATTTTGTCGTTGCTCTTTCTTTTATTTACAGCAACAAAAAGGGGGTCCCAGAAAATTAACATTACCATCTAGATCAAATGTAAGTGTTTCTTTCAAATATTTTTATCAGCTACATCACAAATAACATGAATATACTTGTACATAAAATTTACCCATAGAATACATTTAGATATGGTTTAAGACTTATAACAGAAATATTGATAGAATGTCAGGTATAGCAGTTTTAGCTAATTTTTTGCTATCATTTTCCAAAAAATATAGGAGGATCTTCCAAGAACACCATAAATATTTTAATTTTATATATTATCCCTTACAAAGAAAATGCTATAAGAATTTTTATTAAATTTCATATAAGAAATCCTGTAGTGATTCTTATTAGAAGTCCCTGATGGAACAGTGGTAAATTGAGGGAATTACAATGCTAAAGTCTGGGGTTTGATTCCTCATGATAGACATGACAGATAACCTAATATGGCTTTGTTCTAGAAACAAACAAATCTTATTAGAAATGGGCCCATTTTTCTATTATATTAATACAAGGACTTGCTGTAGGATTCAGTTAGAAGTCTTATTAGAAATCCTATAAGATTCTAGTTTTATTTGGTAAATACAGTGCAATGAATATTTTATTTAAGGACACTATAAAAAAAATGCAAGTATTTAATATACAGCAATCAGTTTTAAACAATACACAAAATTAAACATGTCACTAAAGCATATTTCTACATCAACATTAGCTGGTGTCTCTATCATCCTTCTTGAAATTTTGCTGAAATTCTTTGGTTATTTAACGATAACTTCTTGAGAAGGTAGCATGCAGTGTTTGTGAAGGTTTCTTTTCCTTCCCCACTATATCCACACAAACTCTCTACCTTTCCACCTTTACTTCTGACTATTAGGATCCATTAAGACTTTCATTGTCTTCTAGTTACAAGTTTAGTGCTAGGTATGGAAGAATTTACAAAGTTTCACCACATGGGTATTATTTTCCACCTTCCCTAGTACACTTACAGCTTGCATTTTCATCTATCGTATACTGATTCGTGTACATAAATAATGTTAAGAAAATGTGTAGGAAACTGTGTGCTTCACGAAATATTTCAATCTACATGGCAGAAAATATTTTTCACAACTAAATAAAACACCAAGTACACCAACTTTATCTTTGTTTTGATATTTAAGCTGCTGTTTGTGAATTTCATGTGCTATTGATAATTTCATCATCTCAAACAATTTGATTCTAAACAATCACAATATTGTGCACTACTAATTGTGTTTTCTCTCAGATGTAATATGAGTTGCTGTATTACTCTTTTCTTACTATAAAAATTCACTACCTGCCAAAGATTTTAATGTTTAAATTGAAACATTCTCTCATGAGTATTAGTGAAAATAAAAGATGCACTCTACCTTTAATAATGCCTCACAGGTCAATAATATCAATTACTTTCTTATCAGAAAGTCTTTATCCAGATCAAAATCTTTATATTGATTCATATGTGGCTTACTCATTATATTCATTATATAAGGTTCATTCATGTTATACACATTCATGGATGATTACACATAGTTTTCATATACATACATGTGGAACTACACATGTATTTATTTAGACACATATATGTCCATATACATTTATCTCCATTACATACCATCACACGCACTTTCAACATATTGCCTCTTTTGGGCTCACCTGAAGCTACTGTTGATAGCTATCTTTTCATAAAGCATTGCCATCTGCAAATCATCAAACTCCTACTTTTGTCTTTTCAGACATTATGAACAGATAATCACTGACTGAATTCAGCTGCACAAAGCTTTTTCAGCCAAAATTCCTGGAAGTCAGGATTACTTATTCATACCATTTCTGTAGTATGTCAACATATATTCAAATGAAGCACAACTCCTTTGTTGTATGTGGAGAAGTTATATACATTTTAGATGTAATGGTAAAAAGATCTAGTTAGGATTATATGGTATTCTCCACAGAATTTATGCATTTAAGTAGATCAGTTGAGTAATTCTCATGAAATATCTCAGCTGTTTCACCTCAGAAAAATCTTTGGGTAGCTTGGAAAACAATGGTTGCAAAATCTTTTCAACTGTTGTTTAAAACTCCTAGCTATCTTCTTTAGTTGTGCAAACTATAGATGCACTAACTGTGTTAATTCAGCAGCTATCATCCAATATCTTTTGGATATCTCTTATAGTGTAACTCTAGATGATAGCTTGGAAAATAGGGGTCACAAATTCTTTTTGGTCTCATTAATATCACAACCAACAAACAGTCCTAACTTCAGATGACTGAGTGGTAATCATACAATGTGTTACATACTCAACTACTCAGAAAACTAGTTGCAACAGCTTTTCAGCTGAGTTTTTGGACTCCTAATTATCAGTTCCAATCATACAAACTGCTAATGTGCTTGGCATTATATTTACTGACACAAGGCATCCTAGCTTTATTGTAACCAAATGTAAGTCATACAATATAGAGTATATACTGTTTGGTGAATAAAACTTAATATCTGAAAAGCACAGATCTTGCCACTTCCTATCAATCATTGATTGTTCTAGCTGTTGATAATTGGGTTTAATCTCAGCCATATCAACTTGAATGTCCGTGGTAGCAGTTCTGTAGACCATCAGAGCTGCATCTCACCTCTAGATCTGGTGCTTCCTAATCTGACTCATCCTGAACAGCTATATAAGTACTCTCAGCTCTTACCTCCTCCTCTTCAGGGTCATAGTGGGATAAAACAGTGATTTCATTCAACATTCATACTTTCTTCTCTGACTCTTGATCAAGCCAGTTCACCAGTCATGTATAGATGCAACTGACTGACATGTACTACATGCTTTCATGTGATCCTCGACTGCTGTAACTTGTACGTTAATGGACCTGTCCAGCCAGAAAAAAAAATTCCATGCTGCTAGTACGTACCAAAGAAACATTCAGTCTCTACTTTGGTGTATTTGTTCCTTTGCTGTTTTTTCGCACCACCTTTTCTGTTCTATAGTGGCAGTCTTTCCTAGTTGCTAACACACAAACTCATAGACCTTAACCACTCCACATGTTCAAATAGACATGGGATGTCAGTTCTGGGTGGAAGACCATATATCACATCTACTAGGTGCAAGACTGCTGGACTGAATATTAGTATTTTTGGTAAACAAGCTGTGAATTTATTTGTCAGTTGCATATGATATGCCATTAGGACAAAGGGTAAATATCTATACCAACTGATTTGGTCAGAGTTAAAAACTTAACAAACATACGCTTAACAGTTGGTATCACCCTTTCCACTAAGCCACAGACTAGTGGTGATAAGGTAAAGTTTGTGTCTTCACCAAACTCAATACTTTACACAGTTCAGTTAGCTGTTAAAATTAGCTCCCTGTTCCATGTGGATCTCTTTAGGTGGTGCGAACTGGATTATCCAGTGCTTTGCTAATGCATTAGCAATGAACTGTGTGAAGGTATTGACCAATGGATGACCCTCAGCCTATTTTGTGTTATAGATGACATCCAAACATATACAAGAGACCTCTTCTCTTTTCATCTCTGGAGTGGTGGATCAGTAAGGGCTATTCACTATAGAGGAAAACCAACAATTCTTTTTTGGTGTTACCCTGTTTATATTGAATGTTTCTCTGGGTGGCACACACCATACAGTGTCGCATTACCACTGAACATCTCAACTCGAATACAGATAAAAGAATCACTGTTTTACATTAGAACAAGTGTATGTAACATCTTGGTGCCATACAGTCTTTGTGTTCTGCAAAAAATCCAAAAAATCTCATTCCTCTAAACCCTGGAGACACTAACTGTAATGCAGGCTGAGAATCACTGCTCAGTGATTGATAAAAATGGTACAGCACACCTTTCTGCATTCATAACTGGTCAAACAAGTGACTGATGTGCTTCATCTTGCTGCATGCCAAAGAGCACTCATGCTAACTATGGGTCTTTCAGCTGCTCTTTCCAGAGTTCCTGAAGCATTAATCATGGCATCCATGTACTAGTGGAATCTTCATCTGCATAACTTGATGTCATTATAGTTGAAATAATCCTACCTCCCACATTTCTGTCTGCATTTCTGTTTTGTTGGCCAGAGTTATAATCTATGACTAAATCATACCCATGTGACACTTATCTGGTGTTATTTCATCCCTACAGGGTTTTTAAAATTCATTAACCATTTCAGCAATGCATGGTCCACTTGAACAGTGAACTTTTTACCATATAAGTAGTTCCAAAAATGTTTTACAAACATAAATGCAAGCAGTTCTTTTTTTGGTTGTACTGTATCTGTGTTTAGGAGCCATGAGTATATGACTAAACTACACAATTTACATATTCTTCTCCAACCTGCTCCAATTACACTATTATTGCTGTGGATGTCTAACAGTAATTCACAATTCTCTCATTGATGTGCTTACAGGAAGGCTTCAGGGACTGGAATGCAATCTCACATTCCACTTTCTATCTGAAGTGCATCTCTGCCTTAGTAAGAGCTGATAATAGTGAAACAGTCTTGAAGAAAGTGGTCACAAACTCTTAGTGATATGACATATACCCAAAAAATCTGTGAACTTCTTATTTGTTGATAACTTGCGGCTAATCTCACACCACTGCTATTTTAGCAGGATCCATGGAGATTTATTCTCTACCAGCAATATGACCAAGAAATTTCATTTCCATGCACTTGAGCACACATTTTCCATGTTTCAGCTTCAAGTCTGACTTTTTTATCTGCTGCAAAACCATTTTCAGATTCTCAGCCTCAGACTTGAATATAAGATCAAACACCAAGACATCATCAATGTAGATCAGGTAATTCTTTCATTGCATCCCCTCGAATGTAACCTTCATTACCCATCAAAGAATGTGGCCTCTCAAATACATCACAGGTTACCTCCGTTATAAGTTTCACTGTAACATCACAGACACGTCAAAAGTGAAAACTCTCAGAAATGTCACAACTACCTCTCGTTGTGACGTCACATATTGACCTTTCCAAGACTTAATTTTAAAAAATACTGCAGGTTTCTTTCTATTTCTCATTAAAAATATACACATCACACATCATTGAAAATAATTATTAAAATTGAGAAGAATGAAATACTTAAAGATTAATTGTCAGCGATTGCATAAAAGCATAGTAATCAACAGCTACTCAAAATACTAAACTAGTGACAGCGGGTCAGTACAAGCATGCAAAATAAAAATAATATATAGTAAATACATGTGGTCCTAAAATTGGAGAATATCTAAGAATTATCACATTGTGTTATTATAAAAATGGTCTATATATTAATCCCCTGACACTAGGCCTCATAAAGGAAAATAATCAATATGATATATTTTATTATAATTATACTATAGGAATTTGCTGACTAGCAAAATTGCAGATAGTGCAATTGATTCATTATTGCCCATGTATAAGGGGTTTATAAAATTATTAAATCTGTAAATAGTCAAACAGCCCTATTTAAATGTTTCTGTAATTCTATGATATTGTAAAAGGAATTTCTCATACCAAAACTGGTTTACAAAGTCTGAATGTTGAAAGAAGACAAAATATAATTCTTGTAACTTTCAGTTAGAAAAACTGGCGTGCAACATATCACAAGTGAAGAGTGTAGTGTCACTCTATAATGTATATATATAGCTTGTGCTGCTGCCTAGTGAGTGTTATATATAACATCTCAGCTACGCCTTCAAAACATCACCAAGAAAACATGGCACCTGTGACCACTCAGAAATGTATATGTCACATAGTAACACAAGTACCAAATTTTGACCATAGGGTGATGTCACAGATACATGTCATCTTTGGTGGGTAGCCTCTTCAAACTGGTGGCCACACTATATGGGCTGAATGGTATGATGCAAAACAAATTCATGTTAAAAGCAGTATTAGGCCTACTCTCATCATCCAGTTTTACTTACCAATAGTCAGATGCTAAGAATAGAGTATATATCTGATGAACCTCTTCCAACAAGTTTAGATATTCCTCTCTTCACAGTAGCAGAGAAGCATCAATGCTAGTTAGCACATTCATCCTTTTGAAATTAATGCAGGACTTTGGTATACTTATCTTCTTTCTGACAGTCTTTCCTGGAAATGATCAAGCACTCTCCAAAGGCTGTATGATTCCATATTTTAACACCCCTAGTGTTCTATAGAAGCGTGTGTGTTTAATTATTTAATTGGAACGTGCATCATCTGTATCAATGTGATGTGTAACTGTGGTTTGATCCACTTAGCCATCTGCTCCCATAAATACATCAGCATGTTCTGCTAACAAGTGTGAGTTGCTTCTGCTGCATTGAGTCTGGATTGTCTGAACAATCCTCAACTAGCAATCTTAGATGTGCTACTGTTCATGTATTTACTTTCAGACTTAATGTGACAGATGTAACCCTAGCATTACTATTAACATTGCTTAGTTTCATTTTTCTTACCCTGCTGTTGATCATTTCAACATGTAACTTGATAACTGATTGTTTATAATTTCAGAAAAACACCAAAACTTCATCTCCTCTCATACAGATACCTGTATGAGCTAATGCTGCTTGCTTTCTGGACAGGAGACAGCCTATTTCATGTGTGGGCTCTATAATTACATTACATGGCACCAGCACAATGTACATTATCCATAGTAAACCATGGAACACCACTTCAACATAAACTTGTGTTGTCCACTGTTCCTAAAGTTGATCTGGCTGACACTAGATAATTCTCCTAGGAAACATCAGTTCACTCACTGCACAGATAAAACTGACTGATAAGCTTTGCAGTACATCCATTACAGAATACCAATTCCAGAACCGAGGTCAGTGACAATACCTTCATTCTGTAGGTGAAATCTCCTAAACATAGTTGGAAAGTTGCTTCTCCATTCAAGAATAGTTCATTTCCATGCACCAGAACAAAGTTTGTGTTGGCTAGCCTAAGTAGCAGTTTTACTTAGAGTACTTGATTTATCTCAGGATTTATTATTATTCTGGTCACTTCTTTATCAACCAGGAATTCTATCTCTTACCCTTATACTCTGACAGCCATGTACCAAGACCCACTTAGCTGTAAAAGAGCTGGTATAAGCACCATTGGTTTTACTGTACACTGTTCATTGCACTCCCCAAAGTCAATGACCAAATCCAACTTGGGCTTCTCTAGTTTCCCAGAGCTTTATGCCTTCTAGAACATGTTGCATCATCAGTCAAAACCAATAGCCTAATCTTTCTTACTACTTGGCAAAGTAGGGATAGTAAGACTCAAAACTGACTTAATGCTAAATTCGTAAAGCACACACTTCACTCCTTTCTTTCAGGATGTCATCCTAGTGGAAGCATTGGCCTTGCACATCCACTGAATACCAGTGTGGTTGCACTACAATACTGGAATGTATAGATAGTTAATCTTTGGTTAGGTTCAAACCTGTCATGACATGTGTGTCTGGGTAGGTCAGTTTGTCAGAGGTAAATTCACTGCTGCTGCTGCTACAGGCTTCTTCCTCTCTTGCAACCAGCTTGAAGTTGTCACTTTATACTGCATCACAGCAGAAACTGCCTCAGTGATGTGAGAAGGTCTCTCATACCTAGGTGATGCTGCATCGTCTCACTGAGTAGCATTTCCATGAACTTGTATACAAAAATATCCTTGTAATCTGCTGAGTCTACTGCAGGGCAAGGTTTATTATACAATCAGCACATTTAGTTCTGTTTCAAAATAACAGTTACATATGTATTGATTTGGTTATCAAACATGCCAGTAGATATCACTTGTCAGAGGTTGAATATAAGTGTTTGTAAAGGAATGATGAGAAGGTGTTTTTTGACACAGTCTAGTCATTAGCTCCTTTTGGGGGAAATAGTTTTAGGTTAATAGGTAATGACCTCATACTGCATATCTCTACTATCAGAGTTGAACAGACATTTATATATCTCCAAACATTTGATAATGTGAGATAATGTGAGACTAATTTATTTAATGGTGTTACATAAAGTGAGGAACATAATGTTGAAAAAAATCAAATATTTTGTTGTTTTTATGTGACATTACACCATCATCTTGCACTAAAGTTAAATGTGGTAATGTAGCATTGATACTAATCATAACTTCAAATTAACCAATAGACATTTTTATTAAGCTTCTTTTGGGTTGATATATTTCATTAGAAAATTATTTTTTATATGAATTTGTTTATATTATTTTCAATCAATTTTTGAAATAATAATACTTGTTTCCATAGGATGCTGATGTTGCCAAGTTACTTAGCTGTGGGTCTTTTGGAAATTTAGAATGTTTATCTTTGGCTTTCACCCAAGTGACCAGTGGTTGTGCAGAACAACTGATTAAGTTGCCTTCTTTACGTTACCTCAATCTTTGGTCAACACAGGTAATGATGTGTACCAAGGTTACAGTTTCTTTAGAAATGTTATATATGTCAAGTATAAGCAGTCCAGGAGACCTATTCAATCCAACAGATAATGTAATTTTATTATAAATTTAGCAAGCGAGCATATTAACACTATAAATGGCAATAACAGCACCATTTGACCAAAAAGTTTGTTGTAATACCACGCTCAACACTTTTTGCAGTGAAAAATACTAAAAGGATGGATTTACACTATTTGATGTTTTTATGGTAAAACATATTAATAATATGTGAGCAAAAGATCAATAAAACTTTGATGTTGCATAGTTGTTATGCTTAAGAACTGTAAAATACATATTTAAAATTTTTTTTTATTTTCAAAATGTCTGTAGGTTTTAGGTTTTACATTACATGATAGAATGCCCCATTTGAAGTGAAAACATGTTATACTTAATATTTCTGAGTGTAATGCAGTCCACCAAAAGTAAATGCTTGTAATGGATTTTTTGGCCCTTTACCTAAAAAGTATCTATCCCTAATGTATATTTTTAAGGTAAGGAAACTACTCTTCTGAGAGTTTATAATGGTTCACTCCTTTTTTATTTAAACTAAAGAAAAGTAAATTATTATTATTTCCACCATTGTATACTGACATTCAATGGTTTAAGTCATTCATATTTTGTTAGCTAACATACCATAAAAACAAAATCCAGGTTCATTTACATTATTAAGGTAGTGATTGAATTTTTTATATATATCCTTGTTAAAGTTTGAAACTTGATAAAAAGTAATGCAAAAAAATAAAAATAACATGCCCAGGTTCAGTATTATTAAATATTTAAGAAACATTATTTTTTAAAATCTCAAGTTAAGACTTATGAAAGCCATCTGTAACTTTCACTTTGAAATATATTAAATTGTTTGTTTCATGTGTTGAATTTTTTATAGTTTGGAGACTCTGGCTTGCAGTTGATATCAGAACATTTACACAAGCTTCAAGTTTTAAACCTGTGTGAAACACCAGTAACTGATAAGGGTCTAGTGTCTCTAGCTGGTATGTCAAGTCATATAACTTGTTTTGAACAACTATTCCCATAGTTAAATAAACTTGTACTTTTATTCTTTGTTATCTGTTAAAATATTTGAAAAATTCAGTTGTGTATGGTATTTCCCTTTAACATGTTCACTTCCATGTGCTCCACCGATGGGTCAAAACCAACTTTTAGTTATGGTCAACATGACACACTGGTGGATCATGGACAAATATTTTTCAAAGCCAAATTTTTCTTGGGACACTGTGACTGCTCCTTGGCACCACTTGAATGGCACTATGGTAGGAATTATTAATACCACTGGTGGCAGTGAACATGTTACCTAACTCGATTTAAGGACTTTTTCTAAACTATGTATACACCAAGGTGCTTGTGGATCCATATTTATTTCTGTTCCAATATTCGTAATATCATACGAGTTGGTAGGGTTTCCAGTCTCTTTTGGTCAATTCTTTACACTGAGTGTGGTGACAGGCAAACAAATACAAATCCTCAAAATGTAATATTTGGATCTCATTGGTAATGAACAGTATGGGGATAACCTTGATATCAATTGACAGAGCACTCATCTTGTGTATGAGAAGTCTTGGTCTGGAATTAAAACCCAATAAAGCTAAAAACAAATTACCACATCTGTAGTTGCTATCTTCTGGATTTAAAACGTAGACTGGATTTAAGAAGAAGTTTGTCTGAAGAACTATTCTTTAGGTCGATAAAATAAATTAAGCATTAAACTTTCTATGTAAATAACTTCTAACAACACAGTATGTTCCAGTTACAACTATCTAGCAAATAAAACCTTTTTACAGTAGCCTACCACTTAACTTTCAATACATAAATACATGTTGAGTACTAATTTAACACATAATATATATCTGCTGCTTTTATTAGCTTAATTACCAATATTTTCTACACTGTAACAAAGTTCTTGAGAACAAAGGACCATTTGATACCTTAATCCAAGGCTATCCCCAATGAAAAAAAAGAAAAATTAAACCCACCCTATATTTTTCAGGAAATCATTGATCTCCTCCTAAACTCTTGTAATTATAATTCAGCCTCCCCTAAATCAACAGCAATTCATTCCATAAGCTGATCACCCTGTTAGAGAAATATAACTATCTTAACTAGAGAGTATGGCCTTTGTTTTCCAAATCATAAATTATGTACTCTTGTTTTCTGAATTAAATGCAAAGAAATCAGAAGCCTTTAGCCTATTGATTCCTTCTCTAAATAATCTTGTCAACTACAATAAGATCACCTTTTACTTTTCTTTTCTCACTAAAAAATAAGTTGAGAGATCTTAACCTATCATTATAAGATATGTCTCATCCCCATAATCATCCTAACAACCTTTCTATGAGCCTTTTTCAACAAATCAATATCCTTTCTTAGATAGAGACCAAAACTTCACAAAGTGAGGCCTAACTATTGATTTATACAAGGATATTATTGCTTCTTTTGACTTGCAATCAATATGAAATACATTCAAGAATTTTGTTAGCTTTACTATTAGCATCAGAGAACTACCTTAATGGCTAAGTGACTTATTTATCACTATTCCAAGTTCCTAAGTGACTTATTTATTACTATTCCAAGTTTCTTTACATCACTTATACTTAATATACTCCCAGCAATATAAAATCTGTGATCCAAGTTATGGTAATTCAAATGCATTTATTACCTTGCACTTAGTGTAATTACAGGTCATTTGTCAACTATTTGTCCAACTTACCAATTGTTTTGTTTCATGTATTTATCCAAAGCTACCTGCATTAACCACCCCTAATTTTTAACTGATAAACTAGAAAAAAGACAGCTAGTCAACAGCTCCTAGTACCAACTCTTGGGCTACTGCAACTGATAGTGTAATTTGACCATTACTAATAATTCTTCCACAGTTCCAAATCAGAGCTGATTTTGTGTCATATGATGTGAATCATAGACCCTCAACTCTACAATCTGGCACATAAATCAGATCTGATCCTCAGATCTACAGTTTGGCATGCTAATCACAAGACATGAAAACTTTCTTTTCTAAAAGATACAACCCTGATTCTCTCATCCACGATGCAGCTACCAAAGCTAGTTCATATGCCCAGGAGCAAACATTCAACCATACCAAGAAAGAACACACCGATTGTATTCTGATGGTGCTAACATACCATCAGACTAACAAGAAGATCAAAGATATTATACAAAACAATTACACAATGCTTATTGAAGACCCTACCATTATATCTTTTTTCAACCCCCCTCCCCCGCATTATTTCTTACAGATGTGCCAAAAACTCAATAGAAATCCTGGTGCATAATAACATTAAATAAAAACGAAATGATACTCCAGGTACTTGTGCATGTAAACAAAACAGGTGTGGCACCTGTCCACATATAAATATCATACATATATGAGGAAAAAACACAACTTTCAATATAAGACAATCCTTTACACGTACCACTGAATGTATCAGTTATTGCATAATTTGCAGAAAAATGTAATACTTTATACATTGGAAAAACAGGCCACCTACTTGGTGATCGAGCACAATAACATCTAAACAATATTAAACTGGTGAACCAAGATACACCTACAGGCAAACATTTCACCATCAGCAACCATACAATTGAGGACTTTCCATTCTTGTACTTATTAGTGCTGTAACAGACATTCACAAAAGAGAACGACTGGAAAGGAAATTAATCTACAATATGGGAACTATACAACCATCTGGTTTAAATTAACGTTTTTCTTTCCCATAGATTCCCATTTTTTCAATATTTGTTTAAATTTTAATTCCAACCTCTTTTATATTTATGTGCAAGGTATAATTTTGCAGAGAAATTTCATGTTCAATGTTCAAAAATGTGATTCATGCAATTTTTAAATTCTGCACATTTCGTCATTAGCTGTACAATTTGACAAAGAGTGCTAGCTCAAAACATCATCCTTATCAAATAGAAATATATTGTTTATTCTTTAATGTTAATCATAAGGTCATGCACAGCCCACTTATCAATTGATCCAAGCTATATTGTTACATGTACCTCAACATCCTCAATCAATAGAGCTAGAAAGACCCAAATATTTAATGTCAACAGTAAACTTTACTAGTTTACTAATAATGTTCATTAGTGTCATTAATATAACATAACAAAGAACCATTTGGTTCTTCAAGACTGTCCTTAATTGCACACCTTCTCTTGAGGAAAATAAACATTAAAACACTATTATTCAGGAAAGCATTGATTCCACCTCTTAAACTTCTCATAAATGCTTTGTTAGATAGACAAGGCTGTTTAAATTTAATGCATGTGTTATGCTTTTGATAGTTTAAGTACAGTGTGAGTGTTAAATTTAGTTATTTTCAGAAGCAATAGTTTATTGCACATTTATTTATATAACTGTGTACAAATCATACATTGTGTAGTTCAGTTGTTGTGAACTGGCACTTCTTGTATTACCGTGTCATGATACTAGAAACTTCTAATTTTTTCTCATTGTATTAATTGAGTATTATTGCATCACAATATCATACAGTGTGTGGAACGTTCTAGGCCTCTGTCAGTCTGTAAATACACATACAAAATGTAGTTTGAGTTATTTAATTAGAAAAAGCTGGTTAGATAGATAGATATATCTAGACAGTGTGATTATGAATTTAGTCATAAAGAGCATATTGTGGCAATTTTTAAAATGAAATTATTGCAGATAGTATTGTAATAACAGAGTGGAGAAGAAATAATTTGTCTTGTCAGTTGGGTCCTAAAATAACTGTATCCACCTGTGTGGACTTTGACAAAAGATACAATTATTCAAAGCTCTGGATACAACTGTGTAAAGAACATTTGTATATACATTTGACTTGTGTTAATATATTATTTGAAAAGAAGTGGATTGTGTGCTTATTGTTTATTGTTGAAATGTATTTCCAACATATCACAGACACCTACTGTAAGAAATCCATCTGGCCCAGCCATACATCAAAGCCTAACATTGGTGAGCTAGCCAGGGATATACAGTAGTAAATGGTTTTAGATGTAAACAACAGGGGGCAAAGTAGGCCTATATAAGCACCATTTTAGTGGTGCCGAAAAATATTGTAGAGATTACATCCATGCTATACAACATTTTTGACTGACTTTGATAAGTGGATAGAGAGGGGTGAGTGACTTAAGCTCAAAGATCATGATCTATGAGAGTTTGTTAATTAAACAACAACAAGACCTAAAAAGAGAAGATCATGGGCAGGGAAGAGAGGAAGAAAGTTTGAAAGAAGAAAGTCTGTGTGAAATGCAAGCCCAAAAAGAGAAATAAAAAAATGAGAGGGAGGAAAGGAGAGAGAGAGAGCATAATAATACAAATTAAAAAAGAGAGATTGGAAATAGAGAGAATAAGAGCACAAGTTGAGATTGCCAAGCTCACCCAATAGAAAGATGAAGGACCCAAGAATGATATATATATATATATATGTAATGGAGTCAGGTCCAGCTAACCTAAGCTGCCCAAATTTGATGAACAGAAAGATGTTTTCCTGAACAGGTATGAAGGAGTTACTCAAAGTTGGGACTGGGATAAAGGTGACTACAAGTTATGTGGGCATAACATCAGAAGATGCCATGGAATATGACTTGTTAAAAGTGGCCTTGCTGAAATGCTCTGAACTTACTGAGGAAGATTTTCACCAGAAGTTCGGAGAAGTCAAACCAGACACTGGAGAAACTGTGTTTCAGATTGTGGCATATCTATGACAGTACTTCATGAGGTGGACTGACATGGCCAAGTGAGAAGATAGTTTTGAAGAACTGGCAGATCTACTAATAAGTGAACAGTTCATGATAACATGCTCAACTGACATGTCAATGTTCTTAAAGGAGAGAGCACCAAAGGATGTAAATGAGTTGATCAAGCTGATAAAACAGTATATGGAAGCCCATGGAGGGAATATAACAGGCAAGTCCACGAATAACCAGTCAAAGTTGAAACCAAGGGTGGCTGATCAGA